TGTTGTGAACACCATCAATCTCCAGAAATTTTTCATCTTCCCAAACTGAAACTCCCTACCCATTAGTAACTCCCCATTCCCCCCTCCCCCACAGCCCCTGGCCACCACCCTTCTACTTTCTTTTTCTATGAATTTGACTACTCTAGGTACCTAATATAAATGGAATCATACAGTACTTGTGTTTTGGGGACTGGCTTCTGTAGTTGTTTTAATTTTTAAAATAAAGGTGATTCATGTTTGTGCTTTAAAAAAAGTCCAAATAATATCAAAATGTGCACAAATGAAAAGTAAAAGCATTGAATGGATGGTAGAGATTTTGTTAAAGAGATTTTCAAGACCCATTTGGGAACTAACATTTGCTGAGTGAATGCCATATGACACTGTCTCCAGTGCTTTACATATGTAATTTAATTTAGCTCTTAAGACATATGTGATTTGGGCGCCTGGGTGGCTCAGTTGTTAAGCGTCTGCCTTCGGCTCAGGTCAAAATCCAGGAGTCCTGGGATCGAGCCCCCTGTCAGGCTCCCTGCTCGGCGGAGAGCCTGCTTCTCCCTCTCCCACTCCCCCTGCTTGTGTTCCTTCTCTCGCTGTGTCTCTCTCTGTCAAATAAATAAATAAAATCTTAAGAAAAAGACATATGTGATTTTATTTACTCATCAGAGTCAATCATTTAATCATCTATAGTCGCCAGAGAGGGGGATGACAAGAACTAGGCAAACAGTCAGGGTTAATGCCATAATGACTGAGATGTGGAGAAGAGCTTCCCTGCCAGTGAGAAAAGTGCAATATACTCCTGGAACCAAGAAAGCCCAGCCTTCAACACTGAACAGAGCAGAGCAAGGCAGGGGGATGGTATACAGCCCAGGTGGGCCTGGAGCTCATAGGACCCTCCTCAGATACACTGACTTCTGAGTTTGAAAGACTAGTCAGACATGTTGCCTGGTGGGGATGGTGTTCATATGGAGCTGTCTCTGGGTTGACTCGAGAACTTTTAGATTGGCTTCCAGAAACTTCTGCCACCATCTTGATCCTCTTGTGTAGATACAGTGGGTATACGTCATACATATTATTGCAACACTAGCCTAGACTAGTATTCCTTAAACTATTTCAAGCGAAACCCTGGTCAAATACATTTGGAACACTGTTCTTACTAGATGCTTCTCCTAAAGATTCATAACATATACCTCTAAGATGTCCCATAATGAATAATAAACCTGTGGAAAATTTAACCACTATTTCCCAAACATTTTGACCCCATAGTTTTATTTTATTTTATTTTATTTTAATTTTACTTTATTTTACTTCTTTCCCTAGAAACATCAATATATATGTGGTAGGACCCTAGTGTTCTATGGAGCCCAGAAGCGCAGTGAGTAGGTAGCAACTATCCAGGAATTGACAAAGGCCGCCCTGAGGAAGCATCCCAGATATGTAGGAATCAGAACTGGGCTTAATAAGCAAGACGCCAAGGCAATATCTTCAAGTGTGATTAGACTATCGCCAAAATGCCTGGGGTGATAACTTCTGCCAAGAGGTTTAGCTAAGTTATAAATCCATAAGTTCAAAGGTTTTAAAAACTGCTTACAAAGAGCTAGCCTAACCACATCCCATTCCCACTCTAGTTTTATAACTATTATTGAGGCTTCAGTGCCTTCACTGTCCAAGGGTGAGGACTGAAACCTCTTAGGCTACATTTACTTTAGCCTAGGTTTCTGGAAGACAAACAAGTTGATATGAATTTGGAAGGAAGGTAAGGAGAAATCCACTTTCCAACTGAATGTAGACAATGTGAATACCAGATCACTTTCCTCTGTGTAACAACCCTGACGTCTCCCAGAGACTTATGAACATGATATTTCATTATGCACTAGAACAGTGTGGGATTTCAGTCTACTTTAGCAATAATGTGATATACACCAATAATATGATGTACTCTAATATCCTTGCTTGAGTGAATAGAACACCTCCTTCTGGACGGATCTAGTGGCATCATTAACTCTATGAAAAATGGCAGAAATGTCAAGCCAGCCTTCTAAACATCAGATTTCTCATCCTATAAGGGATAAAGGTGCTAACTACCAAAGTCTCCACCATGCTCTAAACATCAAAAATAGACCATAAATTGCCTGGTCATCATGGGTTTCATGGGATATCATCAGCATTCTGTGGGATGTAGCATAATGGTAAGAACACACACCTTGGAGTCAGATCTGCTAGATTTAAATTCCAACTCTGCAAAGAACATTTCCGTTATCTTTGCAAATTGTTTAAATACCTATTAAATAGGGTTATCATCACGTATTGTACATATTGTATGGGCATAATGCCATGCCCATAGTAATAGTAATAATAGAACCATTGACTGAATACCTAATATGTGCTCATTGTGTTAATACTTTATATGCATTATATAATTTAGTATAGCTAACACTATTTTGTGCATGGACCTTCATAATTTGATTATGGGTGTGTCACAACTTTGGAGTTATGATGCCATCCATTGTTTTGAAACTGGATTTTCTCAAAAATATGTGCAAATATATGCATCTTTGGGCAAACATCCTGCTCCCTATCTTTCTTTGACCATTACATCTCCAATTATGGCCCAGATTCATCTCCTGATCTATAGGGTTCTTTTTTTTTTTTTTTAGATTTTATTTATTTATTTGACAGAGAGAGACACAGCGAGAGAGGGAACACAAGCAGGGGGAGAGGGAGAGGGAGAAGCAGGCTTCCCTCAGAGCAGGGAGCCCAATGCGGGACTGGATCCCAGGACCCTGGGATCATGACCTGCCGAAGGCAGACACTTTAACGACTGAGCCACGCAGGTGCCTGGTTCATGTTTGACACCTTACTCATTACATTACACTTCTCTTCTGTACATCATCTCCAGATTTTTGAGCAATGACTCCATTTCTATACCCGTTATAGCAAAATATGCAGGTTGCCTTACAACCCTCCCTGGACTTCTTATAAGATTACATATCTTACAGATTACATATCGATTGAGAATCTTCCATGCTACACCAAATGTGACTTCACCTTTATATCTTTCAATTCCAGCCATGCCCACTGCTATCTTAATTAGACATGACTGCCTGATAAAGATTCTAACACTACAAATATTCTTCAACTAGCAACATCCTAGAACAAATTTAGTTCCAATCTGTGTCAAACCCCTGGATAATATCTGAGTAGAGGTCCAAGTGTTGACTTTTCTCAGAAAATTAGATTATAGGTTCTTGGACCTTGTGCTGGTTATATCTTGGTTTTTCTGTCTAGCATCCCCACTTCCTTTGGGGAAATGTTTCTCCTATCCAATCAAGTGATTCTGGTGAGGTAGCTGCTAATCATAGTGCCCTCACTGGTCACAGGGGTGGGCTTCTGACCCAGGCCCCTCCAAATATAAAACTTCATTCCTCTAACCACACTGATGGTTCTGGGTTGAGCATGTAACTAAGCTTAGCCAATCTGAGTCCTTCCTTGAGGTTTTCAATTTTGAGCTAGAGAACCATGGCCTTGCTTTCTATGTCATAAATCTAGAAAGAGTCATCATCCCTGCAGAAGGAAAAACCTAACTTATTAGAAGAGAATGAGGCCAACAAACAAAGAAAGCAAAGGCAAAAGATGGACAGAGATATTCCTGGTGGTATCACTTGAGTGTCTGGTCCAGATGTTTCAGATGTACTTTAGATTTCGATTTAGAGCCAATAATTTTCTTTTCTTTTCTTTTCTTTTCTTTTCTTTTCTTTTCTTTTCTTTTCTTTTCTTTTCTTTTCTTTTCTTTTCTCCTTTCCTTTCCTTTCCTTTCCTTTCCTTTCCTTTCCTTTCCTTTCCTTTCCTTTCCTTTCCTTTCCTTTCCTTTCCTCTTCTCTTCTCTTCTCTTCTCTTCTCTTCTCTTTTCAAGTGACTTCGATTTGGGATTATGTCATTCGCAAATGTACTTTGCCATAACTGCCATTGTCTATCTGGTTGCCTGGCTCTCTCCACATCTCAGATATATTCTGTGTTCCAGCAACTCCTTCTCCTTTTGTGTAAACAGGACCTCACTCCATACCTGGCTCTTTGTGGCCCACTACCACTGAGCACAATCCAGCGGTATTCGACTCTAACTTGTAATGGAGCAGACATTTTGGAAGTAGACATCCAGTCAAGAAATTGGTTTTCAACATCAGGATAGTGTGAAGAGCGAGCAGATAGGGTTTACGATGAAACAGTGAGGCATCCTAATAGGGAACATATTACAATAATGTGGAAATCCAGAGCTAGACAATACTCAGAGCGTGAAATAAGAAGTTAAAGTTGAGAAGAATGTGATTTTTGGTTTTTGGTGTCCTCTAGTTATTCTAGTTTCTCTAGTCAACTATTTAGCTAGTTACTGCCAGCAATATCTAGTAACCCATTGTTATTCGAATAAGAAATGGGACATTAGTATTGAGTGGAATATGTGTTTCTGATTCTCTTGGCTTATTCCAGTTATTCTACTTGTCTGTAGTATGTAGCTGTTAGTTATCTTGTCACTAGTTAACTAATCATACAATTTTTCTCTTTTTTTCTCTAGTTTTCTGTAGTTCTCAATTGCTATTCTAACAAAAAATAAGAAGTTAGTTTTGGGAAGAATGAGTTTTTTAGCTTCTTGGTTTACTCTGCTTATTCTAGTTATTTTCACTTAAGTGGTTGTGTAGTCAACACTAGTTACATCTAGTTATCAATAGTTATTCAAGCAAGAAATGAGAATTTAGAGTTGAAAGTATCATTCTAAGCCTCTTGGCTTACTCAAGTTATTCATTATCTAGTTCTTAGCTAGTTACTAGTTAACTTTCTCCTCCATTTTTTCCTGTTTTCTATAGTTCTTACTTATTCTAACAAGAAATACAAGGTTAGATTTGAGAGGACTTTTTTTTGTTGTTTGTTTTTTTTACTTTCTTGGCTTTCTCTAGTTGCCACTAGTTACATCTACTTATCAATAGTTGTTCACCAAGCCTGTTTCCTTCTTTTAGGGACACTGCTGAACTGCCTTTCCCAGTTATCCTTTGTCTAAGTGGGGCCATCTGACTGGTTCTCCCCTGTGCAATGTGAGCAAAAGTGATGTGTCTCTTCTGGGCAGAGACAGGTAAGAGTGGATGTGTTTTCTCCCACACTCTCTTTCTTTCCTCTCCATAATGATTTTAGAAACCATGTGTTGAAGGTGGTGGTATTATTATAAGATTGAAGGAGTCTGGGTCCCTAAATGACTGGCCAGAGTAGAGCCCCCTCCACTTCCTTCTGATTACATTGGACTTTGACTTGCATGAGCAAAAAAAAAAAAAAAAAAAAAAATCCCTTTAAAGAGTTAAGCCACTGATACAGGGAGATTTGTTATAGCATGTAACCTATCCTGACAAATATATCCTATTGTAGTACTTATCATACTCTATTGTAAATTGCCTGTCTTATTTCTCCATCTCCTCCATTAGACTGTGAGTTCCTTAAGGGCAGGGCTAGTGTCTCTTTATGCATCATTATATCCCTAGTGTTTAGTGCAGGGTTCAGCACACAGTAATTACAGTAATGGATATTATTGTAAGAATACAGTAAACAAATATGTATGCACTGACAGGATCCCCGTTATTGTCTCACTAATAAGGACCACTCTTCATTAAAGAGGAGATGCTAATGCTTTACTTGGAGCCTCAGTGCCTGTTCCTTAAGTTTCGATTGAAGGTAGGTAGAAGAGCTTTGTAATGAGTTTGATCTAAGTGATAAGGTTGAAAGATTAGCCAGTGGCTTACTCACAGTAGATTTAGAGATTCTTCATCTATGCAGTTGAGTTACATTTTAAGTTGCTTATAAGTAGCCAAGAGAATTTTTCTAAAAAGCTGAATTTCTCTTATGGAGTCCATAGATGTCAGTATAACATAAAACAAATGTACTGAAAACTGGCTTCATGGAATATACATAGCAGGGATATTTTGAAATTCATTTATATGAGGGCCTATGAAATGGCAATTTGATTAGTCATTCTGGATAAAAATCCAACCAAACAAACAAACATAATCAGCTAAACTGGTATTTGGCAATACACAACAAAAAAGAAATCTGGTTTTTTGAGTTTTTGACTTTCTCAGGTTGAGCAATCATATATAGAAATGAACCTAGTGTTTTTTAAATGAGTGTTTAAATCATCAAGCAAATTTAACTAAAATCTCATCAATCTCTAGCACATGTTTTGAAATGCGACAGGAATTTTCTAAGCTGGTAGGAAAAAGAAACTTGCAGTGTTAGGTGGAAACATTTTTTGAGTCTTAGAAAAGTTCACTAAAAAGATTTCTGAGAAAATTCCAGAACAGTCAGGCTATGCTACTTCCTGAATCGGTTTGTCCAGTTGAAAAGGAAACTGAATCCAATTAAACAACAACAACAACAAAACAAAACAAAACAAAACAAAACTGGGTGTTATCTCAAGTTCGACTTCATGCCAAATAACCATTTTGCTTTTATTTTCCAACTCTCCTTTTGGCTTTGTTCAATGCAACCTGAGTATGTGCAGTATTCCAGAGTTCTACCGGGCACTCCGACTGGGTAGACTTGTTTTTACTGCTCTACACATATCCTTAGAACAGATCCTCTAAGGAAAGTGCAGAGTGACAGGGAGCTATTGTACCACTTCTAAAAGACAATGAAGATAAGGTTGCAGTTTTCTAAACGAAAGTTTTTAGTTATAACTGCATCCGTGGCACTTTTCTTAACCCACTTACACAGAAGACATTGCCAATTACTTCTGAGAGTCAAAAAGGGACAATTAGGTCCATATTCGTACACTAATAAGCATTGCATTATTTAAACTTGTTTTTCTTTTTCAACTATGAAAATGAGAATTGAGCAGTGGCAATGGAAACATATAAAAGTAGTAATTACCTTCTTCAAAGTGCAGCTTTTCACATAAACACATTTCCATTAGCAGGCTTAGTAGCTGTTTTTCAACAATAAAATTTGGTGAATAAACTTCATTTTCCCCCAAGAAGTGGCCTTTAGAATACAGAATATCGAGTTACCTTAAAAACATCTCTAAGGAAAGGAAAGTTTGGTACCAAGGTTGCAAACCTCCCATTTCTTATTTTTGAAAGCCTGCCTTCATAGAATATGCTAGAACCTCCATTTATTTTTTTTTCCCTTTTGGAAAAAAATTCAGCAGGAAGGGGAGCCGAAGGTTTTGTCGTGTTCTCGTAAATTGGTATTTGTTGTTAAACTCCAGAGAGATTGGGGAACATGGCTATTTTAGGTCTTGGAAATTAATCCCAATAGATCTCGTGGAGTATCTGTCTTGAGATGTGTCTGTCACCGTAAATGTTCAACAACAGGCTAATGTTTGACATTTGTCAGGTGGGCTGGCTGCTGGTTAGTAAAAATCAAGCCATAAGGAAATTACTCCCTGACTTCCTAGAGGGGTAGATTTTCATTTACCGAGTTTATCAGGAAATAAACAAGCACGAAATCCAAACGAATCCACACCTTAATCAGGGTGTTTTGTGGGGCTTAGGTTACAGTGCACATTGATTATTTGGCACATAATGTTGAGCATTCGCTCATTATTGAACATTAGCCTGCACGTCTGCTGCTTCTGCACGTTTAACACACTGAAAACACTAGTGGAAATAAAGATGAGCATACCACACACCGCCGTGGCATTTTCCTCTCAATCAGGACTCTTAGGGGACAGAATTGTGAGTTCTTCAGTTACCTCCACTCCTCATTTATCTAGCACAAAACGCAACTGATTCTTATGCATACCAACTCACAGTGCAACCTTGGGTAAGTCACTTAACCTTTTTCTGCCTGAATTTCTTCATCTGTCAAGTGCCTGTCCTGCTGAGCCCCTGTCCCATGGGGCTGGTGTGAGTATAAAAGGAGATAATGGCTGTAAAAAGGCTTTGGAAGTTGTAAAGTGCTGTACAAGTGCAGTGGTTTAATAATAATAATAATAATAATAATAATAATAATAATAATAATAATAATAATGTGGTAAGAAATGGATGTGGCTTTGGTTTCTGCTGCTACATTTTTGCCTTAGAGAAGCTAGTCATTTGCCCTCCTTTTTGCCTTAGAGAAGCTAGTCATTTGCCCTCTTGCCCTTTAAAAAAAAATTAAAAAAAGAAATTCTGAATCAATCTATCTGCCTACTCTGTGTTTATGAGGTTGTTCCAGGGTGAATTGCCGGTTAGCAAATTGTACAAGCTGCAGCTCTGGTTCAAACCAGAAATAAGCTAGAAGGTGTGCTCTGCAGCATTTGAAGTCTGGTAAAAGTTATTTCTATACAGGACAGGATAAAATGATCAGAGCAGAACAACGCACACAGATTCTTCTTGATTGTGCCTTAGAAGCAGGACAACCAAGCAAAGAAACAATCATGTTTTGAAACTACTAAGTAGTGTGAGTGAATGAAAAGGGGTTATTTGCCATTTTTGCTTTTCCCCACAAAATAATCCTAGATCCTTATCAATTCCAGAGTTAAATCCAGACTTCGGGTAGAAATTCTTTTAATCAATGGGAGAATGAAAAATATATAATATGTTATATTGTATGAAAAGATGAAAAGGCCTTGTAAGCCACGAAATCTCAACGTGCAGTATATTGTTAGGTCTGTGTGAAAATACTCCTTTGGAAAGCCCATCTCCCTGCTGATGCCAATGCTATGATTTCCCGGATGCCAGGTGAGCCTGCTGCCTTCAGACAGATGTCTGTCCACTAGTTGACTGCATTTGAATGTTCCCTTTTAGTTGGAGCTTCATTCCAGTACCTTAAGAATTTTATTCTTCTCCTAATTTTTCTTCTCAACATATTGCAAGTGCTTGTGTATTCTTTAAACTTTTTAAAAAACGGGATCTGTTGTTTACAACCGAAAGTCAAACAAAATTAGACAACCTCGCGACAGACGAAGAGAAGTAACCTCTAGGTTAGTCCTCAGGGACTAAGAGAAGGGTCCTCGAATCCTTTTGTGAGAGCAGGGGTGGATCATGAAAAAACATTCCAGGACAGAGAGCCTGAGGTTATTTGGTGCCCCCGTGGAAGGGGGAAAAGTTGGAGGCTAAAGAGGCCTCCCCTACTTGAGCATTTTTCCCTTGTAGACACAGTCGAAAGATACATTTTATGACTGCAGGACCTTGGAAAGAGAGGATTCCACAATTTCACACACCTGTTACAGTGGCAATCTTTAGAAGTTGGCTTCTATCAGGCATCTGGCCAGCTTAAAAAGAATTTTAATCAAGAAGAAGTTTATGAGGTAACATCACTTGGTCTCTCTCTTCTCTGAAGCCCTCTTGATACCAGGCAAAGGTTGTTCAATCAGTTGCTTATCAGGCCTATCTTAATTATACCTTGGAAATCAGTATGCGAATTAAATTGTCATTAAGCTGTTACTCTACTGTCTTAGAAAGTGTGTGCTCTGTCTGTTCATTTCTGAAAGGAGATTTTCTTCATCTTGAGAGTCACAGCTGGAGCATGACTAAAACCTAAAACCAGCCAGGAAACCTCCTGCTGTGTGCAGTTTCCCTAGCTTGCAGCATAATTATGCAAATCCATCTTTGACATTAGAGAAAGGCCAATGACAATGTCAGACAAATGTTATCCAATGTTCACTTAGCCCCATTTTAGGTATTCACAGAGCTGATGCTCAAGTGCTAAAATACGAACATCATTTAAATGTCTAAGGGGGTTGTCGTTTGGTTCCTGCTACCAGAGTAGTTCAATTAAAGGAAGAAACTCTGGCCTCTCCACTTTTCTCTCCTCCACCAGCTCTGGTGCTTTCGGTTCACTGGTGGTTCTTGAAACACTCCCAGCTGGTGGTTTCCAGGACACTGACCACTGTGAACTGTGCTATTCTGGAATTTGGTTATGTCTGAATGTAAAACAGAAGCACCTGCAGCCCACGCTTTATCTTGACTCTTTTGTTCATTTGTTTATTTTTATGTAGCCCCTCCCAGTGCAGCCACGTGGTCTAGGAACCATAAACATGTGGCTTTCCAAATCGAATAAAGTGGCTACAGAAATCTATCTTATTGGTTATAGAGGCTACAGAAATAGATCTGTGGACATCATGAGCTGGCAACAGAGAATGCTTTAGAATGGTGTCTACAA